CGGCCGCCTGCCGGGGCCGGTGCCTGGGCGCCCCGCGCTCCTCTCAGCGCCAGCGTGGCTCCCCCGTTTCTCAAGGCGGTTTCGCGTAGGAGGACGATCCGAGGGCAGGCTTCCCCTTGGAGGGGAGTCTCTTCAGCTGCCTTCGGGTGTTTCTAAGTTCGTTCAGCCGCCGGTATCGGTGGGCAGTGTTTCTGGGAAACGTACACGGCTGATAAAGGCTTTGAAAGCCCGAACTACTTTCTGCAGCTGATTTCATGGTTTAATAGGTGGCATAATAATTAGTAAAATGGTAGAGCCACGCTAAGGTGAATGATTCAGTACCACAGGGGAATAAGGGACTAGTGATTAAACTTTTTGGCATGAGTTAGAACCTTTCATTAAGTTACAATAATATCTTTGCTTTTCTTTTAAAGCTATTTTGAGTAGTACTTTTATTGTTAAACAGATTTCTGTTTGCTTATATGAGTAAACGTACGCACAATTTCTGCCCCAAATATCCTAGTAGTGCCTTGATCTTGCAGGAGGAAAACCCAAACTCTCAAACTTTTGTGTATGTCAGGCTTTATGACTGCAGTATCTGTAGTGCATGTATCCTTTAACACTTGCAATATGTTGTATGATAAAAGAATAATAAGAAGGAATACTTAACACTTACTAGTGGTGTTTAAACACTGATGGAACTTAAAATACTTTACCTGAAAAATGCTCTTTGTGAGCTACAATTAGAGTAGGCTTGTATGCCAGACTCTTCTCCTGGCATAGGAAGTACTATCCCACTTAATGTATAGCAAGATGAAGAAACGTTATGTGGGGTTTATGAAGAGTCTGGAACAAAAACAGAATTCCATGGGTTTTTTTCACTTACGATTTATATCCACTCCTATCTCCTCAGTTCAAACACCTCTAAGTTTGTTAGTTATTGGCAAGATGATCAGTTTGTTAGTGTGTGCATGTTATGTTGGCTACTATAGAGTCCTTTGCCTTTGAAAAAGGTTGTTAACCCTTTCCTTAGATTTTAGATCTTGTTTCAGAAGGCTGAATCTCAAGGATACAGATTTACACAGACCAATCACTGATCACATTAATGATGCTCTGTTGTGAGATTATGCTGCGGTGTTATGGAGGATTTACAGAGACCAATCACTGATCACATTAATGATGCATTAACATTGTGAGATTATGCTGCGGTGTTATGGAGTCCAGACAAATGCTTGCCTGTAATGAAAAGAGTTTAGGTCTGTAATATATTACAATTCTGTATTTGTTAACCCATTCAGCCAGACTTTTCTTCCTCTTTCTGTTTACCAGGAACGTAAAGGGACAGCAAAAGTCGATTTCCTGAAGAAAATTGAAAAAGAGATCCAGCAAAAGTGGGATGATGAGCGAGTTTTTGAGATTGATGCTTCGGATAGGCAGAACCAAAAGAGGTACCATTAAATTTTTTTACAGGTTTTATCTCTTAACTGCTTGAAATGTCTTTTCAAAGGAACTTTTTTCCTTCAAAATCCAGGGGTGAGAAGGTGTCCTCTTTTGAATGAATAGTGTTCTTGGATCATCTGGAGGTGCTTAACTTATGCATTAAGTTGGCATTTCTATAGCTGAGAACATGAAGCAGTGGTGTACATGTGTTGGCCAAGTTCCAGTAGGATGAAAAAAGCCTTCTTGTTCCTTGGTAGTATCAGTACCTTCTGAGATTTTAAAAATGGATTCTCTTTGGTGACTTCTACTTTTTGACATGGAGGACGCTTCTCAATGTGATGCCTAAGCCCTTACCAGTGGGAGGGCTTTTACTCTCCCAGTTAGAAAGGACCGCTCCTTTATCTGAAGGAAGGTGTGTACTTGCTCTGCTTCGCTGAGAAAAGAAAATTGTTAAACACACATCTTGGGTCCTGGTGTAGGCCAACCTGTTCTGCTTTGCGTAGAAGTGGATGAAGGCCAGGCGTGTGAACATTACTGATCCTCAGATGAGGTGCTGTGATTTCTTTTTGTACGTGAACTATATTGCAGAGGTTTGTCCCACTACTTTGTTAGTTGTAGAGCACTTCTTTTGTGATCTGCAGCTCCAGCAAAATTAGTCCCAGGACTGCGTAAAGAGTGAAGGACCCGAATGGGTCAGGAGATTTGAATGCTATATTAGGAGGTGTAATAAAAACTGTTGTGTGGGGGTGTGTTGCTCACGTTGTAGAGCTCTTTTTTACTTAAAAGAAATGCCGTCTTTGCTTTAAGTATTCACTATCTTACAGGTTGAAATTTAAGGCTGTAATTAATACTTACAGATTGAAATTTAAGACTGAAAATGAAAGTAGTAGGTCAGTTTTACAATATGGAGCAATTTAATATGAAATTTCAGTGTTCACTATGGTAACATGTGACCACCTTATAAGTAGAGAAGAAGTGCTTTGTCAAACTAATGTTCTTACACTTCTAGTTAAAATGCCATGTGTTTATTCCAGGGTTTTGTCTTAAACTTCTATGTATTTTCATAAAATAGCTGATACTACTAAAAGCTACCCTAGAGGAGAGAGAGATGATGCTGGCAGAACATTTCTGTGGTCAGTCATTGTATAGTCACAGTGGGATTTCATTCCGTGCCAGGAAAAGGATTTACTTACAGTGTTTTTTCTTGTGTTGAACTAGTAAAGCTCTACTACGATGTAGATGGAACTGCTGTAAGAGATCTGTTGCTGTTCATGCAAAAGTCAACCCTAGGAAATGATAGCAGGAATATGTGTTTCATTATTAAAGATCACAGTTACTTAAAGAAAATGGTCCAGGAGAGATGACTTATAATGTGGTTGGCCTTTTCCAAAACTCAGACTTAATAAATTCTTTGATATAATTCCTGTTTGAACTAGAGGACATTCCCTAGGAAAAAATCTAACCCTTAATTAAAAAGAATGGAATTCCACCACAGATATTCTCAGGTTGTTTTAATGGCTAACAATGTTCCTGATTTATTTTTTTATTAGTTTCTAAACTTTTTCATTAACTATGAAGTTCTCTAACTTCATTTCCAGTCACTGCATTTGTTATATTTCAGCTTCTTCTCTTGAAGCTTCCTCTGCTGATGTAATTTCATTGTGTTTCTAGAGGGACTGTGTCTGAACCATCTCTTGTTTTCTGCTGTTCCCATGTAATAATGCCATTGGTAGGATTACCTTTGTTCTTTTATTTTGTTAAAATAAAAGAAAAAACCTTCTTGTTGACATCATCTCTGTGTGTGAATCTGTACTGAGGTTTATCTGGGTTTTTCCTTTCCTTTTTGGTATTTGCCGCTTCTAATTCATTTGAACTGCTGTGAATTTTACCTTGTTTTTCATACTACCTTGTTAGTTAAGGATTTTTTTTTTTTTACAGAGCATTCTGCTTTTAATCTATGCTGGTTTTGGTCAACGTAACATTTTGCTTTGATAATGGCTTTCTGGTCTTGTGCTAAAATATTCCTGAGCTGCTGTCTGTTGATTGTGGAAGGTGCTTATTTCTTTGCTTAAATTTTCTCGCACCTGGTTCATTTCATAACTGTTCTCAGCTTTCTGAAACTGGTTCTTCTAAAAGAGCAGGCATGTGTAGCGCTGGTCTGGACTCTGTTTGCTTTCCATGTGGCAGATACAGTCTGCTCTAGTGCCTGAGCAGCTACCAAGCTTTAATGTTATGTTCCATCCCTTTATCTGCCCCGACGGGGTTCCCTGGTGGTAGGTGCGGTGCTGCTTGAGTGAACTAACAGGGGGACAGCTTCTGAGCTGCCTTGGTCACGTTCGCTCAGGACCGTGAGGGTGGCAGCACGTGGTGAGCTGCATTCCTGACCGCCCCAGGAAGGGATGGAGCAGAGCTGCTGGGAGGAAGCGTGTTTCATGGGTGAAGGGAGCGTACTGTGGGATTAAGAAAGACCGTTTTAGCTCTTGGTTTTATTTCTGCCCCAGAATAACCCTGAGAAATTTGTTTAAGACAGAACCTCTGGAAACGCTTAGCACGCTTGGGAGCACAATTCCTCTCAGATCAATAGGATCGATGCTCTTTACAGTGTGGAGGGGAGGCTTCCTTGTGGAACAGCATTAGTTGTTTGGGTAGGTCTCTGAGTGAAAAAGCAGTGACCTTGGCAATATGAGGTTAGTTATTTGTTGTGTGGGAAAGTTAAACTAAACCAAGATATAACTAAAGTTGTGTAACAGGTGGCTGCTTCTTAAATTGTGTATTTTGCAAGCAAACAAATGACTTAGCCTTTATTTATGTGTGTTTATACATCAGGGGTAGTGTCTGAAGGGAAAAGACAAGGCATAAAGTAGAGCGCAAAGGTGGAGGTAGTAGTTTACAATGTCCTAAAGATCTAGAAATTATCTTAGTTGCTTTGAGAGGTCGGGTTACAACAATGTAATACATATTCAAAACACCGTGCAACAATATATCCTTGTGAAATGAGTAATTATTTACAATGTGCCACTAAAAAAAATATGAACTCAGGCAGAGGGAGATTCAATAAATGACTTTAGGCCTTAGCAGTAATTAATTTACCTTTGGGAAGACATTATATCTATTTTAAAGTTTCTTTGTCATGTCAGTCCTATGTGGGTTTTTTCTTTTGTGGTGGTGTATTGTGGTGGTTTGTTTTGTTTTTTTAAAAGATGATAAAACCTGTTAGCGTATCAGTTCTTTAAAATCAAAGACTCGTGTTACTGACAGGGAAAATATTATTTTAATGTCACTGTGGGCTGATAATAGTTGAACATATCAGTTAACTGTTCTACTTGTGCATCTTCTGATGGCTATTTTAAAAGCTAATTACATGTTTTAATTCTTTGATTTTCTTCTCAGCAAAGGAAAGTACTTTGTTACATTTCCTTATCCCTACATGAACGGCCGCCTTCACCTGGGACACACGTTTTCTTTATCTAAATGTGAGGTAAAAATTTTCCTTTGCTAATACCCCTAAATACTACTCTAGAACAAATGCTAATTTTGTAGTTAAATTTTGAGCTAAGAGAGTGCATTGTTAATTACTTCATAGATTCAATAATGACTTATTCAAACTTTCCTTTTTTCCCATATTTTCAGTGGAAATATTGCTGGTTGAAGAGAACTGCCACTGATGGCTTTTTTAGTTCTAGGAGACTAGACTACAGGTGTTTCCTCTATTCATTCTTTCAGATTTGCTGAGATTTTTAGGAGGTGCTGCTGCTTACCATTTGTCTAGCTACTAAATGGTGCAAACTTCACAAGAAATCTTACTGTCTCTTTTGTTTGTGAATATTGTGCTCTATTACCTGTCTGTTAACAGGTTTTAGGTACTAGTGGATCGATACAAAATCGATCTCTTCTTTGCACCCGTTCTTCTCTAGTCAAAAACAGGCCCCTGAAAATTAGAAAAGCTTGTACTTATGCAGCCAGGCAATGGCAGACTTGATAACAAAATTTAGTTTCACCTTCTTTTCCTGTAATTAGCTTCCTAGATGCTGTTGATTGCGTTCGTCTATCTTTCAGTAGTTTCGTTAAAGAAGGAATTGCACTTATTTTTGGAGAAGGGTGCTAATTTAGCCTTTTGCCATTCTTGTTTCATCTGTTTCATTCTTCCACTTTATATAGTTCGCAGTTGGGTATCAGAGGCTAAAGGGAAAGAACTGCTTGTTTCCATTTGGTCTACACTGCACTGGGATGCCTATAAAGGTACGATGGTTTGAGTTACTGAGAACTTTTTCTAATGTTTTTTATACTTGAGGCTACTTAGAGCATTGCTTACTGTCCATCCAGAATATCATATTAAGTTATTCAAAAATTCATCAAGGTAGTGTGATTTGGAACCTGAATTTGTAGTGAAGGTGTGTGGTGCTTGAACTATACATTATGACTTTCTAGAAAATAAAATGCTTTAAAATTAAGTTTACCTACTGTATTTTTTCATTTGCAAGAAAATCCTCGCTCTAAACCTCTTCCTGCCGTGGCAGGCATTCTTGAAGTTGCAAGATCTCGTCAAAGTTAATGCAATGTCCAGAAAAAGTTTAAAGTGTTGTAGAGAAATGCAAAATTATCAGTAAAAAGCACTCCTTACCTGTGATTGAAGCAATTGCCATAGAAAAGTGCTGATAGACTACCAATAACTCTATTTAGGCTTGTGCAGATAAGCTAAAAAGAGAAATGGAGTTATATGGCTGCCCACCTGAATTTCCTGATGAGGAGGAGGAAGAGGAAGAAAATTCTGCTAAAAAAGAAGAAGAAATTATCATCAAAGACAAAGCAAAAGGCAAAAAGGTAAAACTTTAAACAAAGACTTTGTGGATTGGTAGCTGCGCTCTCAAAGCTTCAAAGTATGCATTATCGGTTTTACCTCTTTCACATTTCTCAGAGAAACCTGTGATACAAGTATTTAGATTGTTTTTTCCAAGTTAGCTGGGTACTTTTAAGGTAGACTTGAAAAAATGCGTCAGCTGTGTGGTTCCAGAGATACCATTTTAATGCATGAAATCTTAATGGAGAGCTGGTGCACTGTTTGATAGTTTCCTGAGAAAAATTAGATCATTCAGTGTAATACTCTGATTTCTTCCCCCCGCCCCCCGCACAAAGCATTCACAAACAAGTTGTAGGAAATAACCCTGCTTTCTCAGTGGTAGGGGATATATATACACCTATTACTCTGATTATTCTCTTGTAAATTGTTATCTAGCCTATTCTGGCTAGATACGCTAAGTAAGATAATCCAAACTAGTTTGGCTTATCAGGTGTTTAAATGAGATTTATGATTTTGGGAGTATCGCAAAGCAAGGAAGAGAATCAAGTCTAGGAAAAATTTAGAGATGTTTTTATGTATATTGGTTTTGTATGCTAAAGAGCACTGGAAGCATTAGATTTGGGGTTCTGTGTGCTCTACATCAACAGATGTGATCTTGCCTACTCTTGCAGGTAGTAAGTTGCTGTTGGGGCATAAGATATTTGAAGGACAATAGCTGGAAAAAGTAATATGAACAAAGTAACAGCAGAAAGGGTTTTTGATACAAGGATATAGTGCAGGACTGCTCTACCTTTTCATGGTAAACACACCCATTTGTTTGAGCAGGACCTCAGTGAACTGGTCATTTCTGCAGATGTATCAGATACATCTAAGCATGTAACAGTTGAAAAGGAGGGGATTAATGTATGTACAGTTGAATACAAGCTGGGGAATAGTGTAGATCAGAAACTGATTATTAATCTTCACTGCTAGAGAAAGGACGCTAGAATATTTGTATTAACTTGTATATCTGGAAATAGAAACCATGACATTAATAGAGAAAAATGCTCTCAAGCATATAAAGCTATTGTGAATACAAGAACTTTTTCCTAATCACAATTGTCCTTTCAGAGTAAGGCTGCTGCCAAGACTGGCTCTTCCAAATACCAGTGGGGAATCATGAAGTCTTTGGGTCTTTCTGATGAAGAAGTAGTCAGTTTTTCTGAAGCTGAGCATTGGCTGGATTATTTCCCTCCCCTTGCTGTCCAGGATCTGAAAAGCATGGGATTGAAGGTAACATTGTATGAAATATAAAATTCAATATGATTTTTGTCATTATTGTCATTATGTTTATGAATATGTTGCTTCTCCTTTGAGATTTTCTGCATAATACCAACATTATTCTAGAAACGTTTCTGATATTTTTGGAATTACTCATTTAACCTTTTAATAGCCTTGGCTGATAGTTGAGTGCTTTCTTATATAGAGCTTATACCCTATGCAGTGGTCACAACTGGAAAAAAGTATCAAATAAAGGAATTATGACTTTCCTTCTTGTTTCCGTATTAGATATCTGTTTTGTAGTCAGAATTGACAGTAGTTTTAGGAAGAGTAATGATGTAATATTAAATAAAGATACTTGTCCTGTTGACAACAGATTTTTAAAAATAAAGACATGTAGAGATTATGAAACAAGGTGGTGCTGAAATTTAGCTGGAGCAATTGATTAGAACTACTACAAAATCTCTAAAATTCAGTCAGCAGACAGGGCCTTCAGTCTTTGACATCTCAGCTCTGAAAGACGATGCACATACAGACAGCATAGTTATGTTTTTAAGCATGCACCCTTTGTGATATGTACTTGCATTATCTTTTTGGAGAGAAACTTCTTTTTATTTTTAAAATAATAGTTTTGCTGTTGTGAGGTTCCTTGAATTTCTTTATTTTATTTACTTACTAGAGACTCTTATGCATTTCCAGGTGGATTGGAGGCGTTCTTTTATTACTACAGATGTTAATCCTTATTATGATTCCTTTGTGCGATGGCAATTTCGTACATTAAAGGAAAGAAATAAGATTAAGTTTGGGAAACGGTAAGTCTGCCACTCAGCTCTGAGTTTATTGTAAATATGGATAAGCTCAGCTTTACCGCAGATGGAACCCTATGACATGTCTCTATAACATGCTTATAACTCACATTAAACTCAAATCCTTTCATTTCAAATGCTCTACTAGACACAGTAATGTATTTATTGTGCTAGCAAAGTGTGTGAGATTGTGTTCCTGTTTTAGTTTTTCCATGGATACCAACTCAAAGCAAAATAGGGCTAATGCTGAAAGCTCTTGCAAAAACTGAATGTTGACATCGGTGGAAACAAATTGATGCAAAATTTGAAAATACCATTAAGAAGTCTCTTTTTCGTAAAGATCTTTATTTTATTGTATTTGCTACTAAATAGCAACATACCTTTTTCTAGGTATACAATTTATTCTCCAAAAGATGGACAGCCCTGCATGGATCATGACAGGCAAACAGGAGAGGTAATATTTTTAATGGACATTTTTATGCATTGCTTATGATTTTAAATACTGAATGGAAAAATAAATTGTATCTTGGAGCAAAATGTATTTTGTACATATAGAGTTACCAGTTTTCAGTTGTCAGTACATGTGAAAATTGAATGAACTCCTCTGTTGACAATATTTGTCTTGAACTATGGATAGTATTTTCCATTGTAGCTGTTTTCTGTGATTATTTGGCAATTTGTGCCAGCAGCATCACTGCATCGTATCATATCTATCTGTTGAAACAAAACAAATAAGCTGTTATTAACTTATATGTTGCTGAGATAGTAGCTGTCACGAGTAAATTTTTGGACATAGGAATAAAGTATAACCTCTCTCTCCAGTCTGCATTTTAGTAAACAGCCATTTGTATTAGAGGAAATATGATTTACTTTGAAGAAAGCATCAGTACCTTAAGTAACATTTGGGTTGGGTTACTACAGAATAGGATTTATTTTCTTTACTGCTTGAGTTAATGTCATATACTGATTGCTGCATTGTTTATGTGAATTGTAGGGTGTTGGGCCTCAAGAATATACGCTAATAAAAATGAAGGTGTTAGATCCTTATCCCGCAAAATTAAGGTAGGTCTTGAATTTGTAATGGCAAATAGGTTCTATCTTATGGCCAGAAGTGACCATTAAATTAGACAGTCTGTTTTCCCTAATGCAGAATTTAATTTCACCCTGTTATTTCTGTCTGGTCTCTGTTTTGAGCTGCTGTTCTCACTAGTCTGTGTGGAACTCAAATTGGAGTTTAAAAAAAAAAAAGAAAGAAAGAAAATGAAAAACCCACAAAGAACTTAATGACCCACTTTCATACCTTAGGAAATGTTACTTAAAAGTTCATATTAGCTTAAAAGCATGTTTTGTATTGCCCTGAATGTTTTTATTTTGGTGACTTATAAAATACCTTTTTCCCCCCAGTGGCCTAAGAGGAAAAAGTATCTTCCTGGTGGCTGCTACGCTTAGACCAGAGACCATGTTTGGACAGACTAACTGCTGGGTTCGCCCAGATATGAAGTACATCGGCTTTGAAACTGTGAATGGGGATATTTTTATCTGTACCCAAAGAGCTGCCAGGAACATGTCCTACCAGGGCTTTACAAAAGATAATGGAGTCGTACCTGTTGTCAAGGAGCTGATGGGAGAAGTAAGCACCTTGCAGTTTGCTGCTCAGGCTTATCTGTTCCTGTGAAGCTTATACTTACAAAGGTGATGAGAGAATTCTACTTACAAAGGAAATATAGGAACTGTTACAAAAATTTTGGAGTGTTTAGTGACTAAAAAAGCAAGCAGAAGACAGCTTCCTTGGCAGCGAAGCTACAGCTACTTCTGGGAGATTAACCTTATTAAGTATGCCTTAGCATTTCTTGATGAAGGAATGGTTTGAAGTAACACTTTTCTGCATGCTGGGAAGAGTGATTTCTCTACGGGGAATGGAAAGGGAGGGAAAAAAGTAGTAGCTAGAAAGGGTTATGTGAAAAAGGCTTTTTGTTGATGCTGAAATTCCCAGTACATCTTTGTGAATGAAGCTTTCTTAGCTTAGTAGTTGAATGTTAGTGTTTTTGATATTTACTATGCTTAACTTCTGTGCTTTGAATAAGTGTAGTTAGTGGTGTTTGTTCATCCTAATACAAAGTACCTTCATGCTGTTTACATCACTTGATCTTCGTTCACTAAAACTTGTCACCATCTTTCTTGGTCCTGCTCTGAAGGGTGAAGTAGAAAATACAGTTTTTGTTTCTTTGTTAGTAGACATGTTGTGAATTCAAGCAAATTAGAGAGGTAGAAGACAACTGCAACATCTAGACTACCTCCTGTCAGTGCATAAATGGTCTTGACAGTATGCTTTTCCTGACTTTGTTTAATCTGGCTTTTGACACTGGCTTCCTAATTCATTCCTGTCTTGATGCTGATGTGCTTCAGATATTTGGAGGCAAACTGCTCTCCTGCTTACTATCTTTTTCCAACTCTACACTTTCAGTAGTTTTGCTTTTCTCTATGTTATCTGGTATTTGACTTTTCTACCAGTAAATAGTCCATATACTGTCTCAAATGATACACACATGCTTTTCATACGTACTTCCTCCTTGTCTAACTATATATATATTAATTTATTGGTTTGTAATATGTAAGGAGTGCCAGCAAATGTAAAGAATATCAGCCAGGAAATCTTACTCAGCTAGGCTGAAAAAGTGCTATTTATTGTAATGATATTCCTTTGTCCTGCATAGGAGATTCTTGGCGCTGCACTTTCTGCACCTCTTACCACCTACAAAGTTATATATGCTCTTCCCATGCTCACAATCAAGGAAGATAAAGGTAACTTTACAGCAGTGTCCTGCCAAAGCCTGTTCGATGCACACTGTGCATTCAATATGTGTTGGCTAATCTTTTTATCTGTTGTATCTCTTTCTTTGTCAAGGAACTGGAGTGGTTACAAGTGTTCCCTCTGATTCTCCAGATGACATTGCAGCCCTGAGAGATTTGAAAAAAAAACAGGTCAGTCTGTTAGCAGAATTACTTCTGTTTCTGTTTCCTTTCTATAGTGTGGAAGGTCAAAAATGAATATCCATTGGGTAAAATGAAACTTGCTTTAATTGGGGTTTTGCTATCTCTAACTTGAAATCAAGTAGTTAAAAATAAATGAAGTTAAAACCAGCTGGGCTTGGACAAATGTTTATTCCCAGACTTCAAGAAGAGTTTTGGATGAGAATCGTGTAACTTCTGCTGCATGTTAAGGTATAGAAGAGTACCAGTGAAATAGAAATAAACTCCTGTTGTGGAAATTACTTCCAGAGATGAGATTAAGAGCTCTGTTTAAATTTCAAATGAGACTTAAAGTAGCTGTTGCTATTACAGTTTCAAGAGTATGTCAGTGTCTAAACAGCTATCCCTGGCTATTGAATTTTTGTCCCACTCATTTTCAGGGTAGAGCGATAGTGTTTTTTTCCCCTCTTAAAAATGTAGATGATTATGACAAAGAATCACGTGGAAATGAGATGGGCATTAAACTCAGGTGTGAGAATTGGTGAGAAGACAGGGAAATGGCTTCGTCTGCTTTATAATAAAATATTATATACAAGAAAGTCCCTATGAATGGATAGAAACCTTTAAATCTATAAGATTTTTCTTCTAATCATATTGCATTTTTTTTCTTCTAACTTTCAAAGGCTTTGAGGGTGAAGTACGGCATCAAAGATGAAATGGTCCTGCCGTTTGAACCAGTAAGTACACCCAAATGTGTCCATCTGCAATACACACTACTCTGTATTCACTGATGAGAAATGTGCCAAGAACTGTGCCTGCTTTTTCCAGAATTTCTGTTTAAAGTCCTCCTCAGCTGAAAGAGCTGAAAAGTTTAGAGTAAAGTTTTCATGTTTTGCTGTAATTGTAATACTTGGTCTGTTAAGGGTTGCAACCAAGATTTGTTATTCTATGCTATACTTCAGAGATAGAGAAAACTATTAATTTTTGTGGGAATTACTATTTTGGAGAATGGATTCCATCATTATACTGATAACCTGTTGGTTGCTTAAAACTTACAGCCTTAACGGCCAGAGTATTATTGTATCTGTTCTATGCAAAGAGCTAAAGTCCCTTACTATTAATGCAGTCTTATAGCTGGATCCGTTTTCATTAGAAAACTTAGATTACAGGTAAAGCCATCCTAATATTCTGCATTACCCTTGCTTCCACACGCTAGCTTCAGTACTGGTACAGCTTGGTACTGGTGTCATATCAGGAGATAAAACAGAGCTATTGCTTGTTGGGGCAGATCAGGAGTCACTCTAGGGACTACCAGGAATTTTTGATTTGATGAGTGGAATTGAACTAATACTTTGTAAGGCCTACGTAACTCGGTTAGTAGTAGATGCTGCAAACATCAGAGTAGCACAACACAGTAGAAGTTTGACATAGCCCTAGCACCTCCTTCTGCTGCCATTAGGGCTCTTTGGTTCATATTGCTTTTGGCCAAGATATCACGCAGCACAAACGCTTTCAGGTAGCTAGTAATGACTGCCTTTTTTCCCCTTCATAATCTCTGCTTCAGACTCCCACGTCAGCCTAGGGACTGCAAACCAAGCAAAACATGCTTGTCTCTGTTTTGTTCAGTGCATCACTTCTAGTGAGGCTTTTGAAATCTGGGAAACAAAAGTTTGTGTAGATTTTTTGACATTGATGTCATTTGAACTGAATATCTGACACTATTTTATTCATTCTCAGGTGCCCATCATTGAAATCCCAGGCTATGGCAACCTTTGTGCTCCATCAGTCTGTGATGAGCTCAAAATTCAGAGCCAGAATGACAGAGAGAAACTTGCTGAGGCCAAGGAGAGAGTGTACCTGAAAGGGTTTTATGAGGGAGTAAGTAATTAAAGATTTTGATAAGTGTTTTCTTGCTGAGTTTGATTAGGAGACAAAAAGTGGATAAAGATAAAGAATAAAAAAAAAAAGACTTCAAGAGAGAGGGAGATATTTTCTTTTTTCCCTAGACCACTTCTCATTTAGCCTTTTCCTGCAGTCAAGTTCTGCAGTTGGAGGAGTTACGTAGAATTGAAGAAAGAGAACGGAGGAATGTAGAACTGCAAACTGAGATTTATAATCTGGTTTCCTAGCAAGTGATCGCGTTCTGGGGAGTTGATCAATTTTGTTACAAGTATTGATTTGGAAACTCATATGAAGAGAGCAATGTGTTGGTGTGTGCTGTGGGTGTTCTTTGTTTTGTTTTGTTTTTCCTTCAAATCTTCTGTCTTTACTTGTGTAATGGCTTACTGTGATGTATTCCTCAGCTGTTTTCTTGTAAGCTGGCAACAATTTTATGTGCATGCTGACATGTATACAAACTCATTTTGGGTAAAGATGACTGTCTATTTAATGAAAAAAACCCTGTATTCCTGTTTTTTGCACGTCAAAGATTGCAGTAACTGCTACTTCTT